CCTAAACCCTGATCCACCCTAAACCTGGATCTGCCCTGGTCCTTGAGCAAGGTCACCTTTCATGCAAAGTCACTGCAAATGACCTGGGTCCACCATGGAGAGTCCTTCCTCTAAGCAACATGGAGTAGGCTGACAAAAAAATTGCGATGCGTCATTCCTACTTGGCAATGGCTCTCAGCACTTCAGCACTGTGTAGTTTCCCCATCTTCCTAGTTCCACTGATCCTTAGTTAAATTTGTTTATATTTTTCCTTTTTTCCCTAAAAGATAGAACAAACTATGTTATTGTCCTATATGCAAATTTAGACATTATTTTTATTGTCCAGTCTATTCTGTTACTTTATATCTAATAGTCTAAACAACTTTGATCTTTTTAACTTCCCTGATGTAAACCAGCTCTGATCATCTGTCTGTGCTGATGCATACAAATATTTCACTTTTTCTTTGAGTTATTTCTTTGTTTAAATTTTGGATCACCTTTAATACTTCCTTTTTAATTTTTACTGTAAATTTACTTAATTTTTACTTTATATTTCTATTTTAATGAACCCATATAACATTTTTTTTCTGGAAAGAGATGGAAAGGAGAAGCCCTGATGAATGGGAAAACAAGAGATTACTCTCTGGATGTCATCTAATTATAATAGTAATCAGATAATCTGAATGAATGAGCCTTCAGAGGTATTTAATGTAACAGAAATAGAGCAGAGAACTGAAGTCTAAGCTATCGAATTTCTGAAGCTTCAATTAGGGAACAGAAAATAAAGAAGTCACCACATTCAAAAGAATTTAACTTAGAAGACTAAAATAATACCTAGAGAAGGAATGTATACTAAAACAGAGGTCAGCAACATTACTTCTGCTATTGGCCAGAGTAAATTTCTTAGGATTTATAGTTCTTATGGTGATTATCTTTGCCGCATGAAAGTATACATGGACATTATTTAAATAAATGAGTGTATATCTGTGTCTGTATAAACCTTTATTTATATAAATCTGAATATCACACACTGTTTATATGTCATGAAATTGTGACATTCTTTTATTTTTATTTTTTTTCCCAATCGTTAAAACAATGTTCTTAGCTGCTGGATCACACAAAATAGATAATGGACCAAATTTGTTTTGGAGGCCCTTATTTGCTGATTCCTGCCTTACAAAAACAAAAGAACATTTCACAAGAAATCCAGTAGTTGAAACAGCCCAAAGCAGCAACTTGGAATCATATTGCAGCTCTGAGGCACATTCATAATTCACTTATAGACATGACGTTGCACAGTATCCTTCACATAATAAGTACTCAACTTCTAGTTCCCTAGAGAACTAAAGGCTAATGATTGGAAATTCTGAGCCCACTAGTGTCTTCGAAAACATCTCCTTTAGAATAAATAGTATAATGAAAGCAATTCAAGGTAAAATGTGTTTAGAGTGAAAATTCAGGAAATGGAAGTAACATTCTAGAAAGCTTTTCAACAATGTGAAGAGAATGAGATGGATGGTTGGAAGGGAAAGCAGATGAATCCAATTAAAGTTGTATTATAATTTTTTAAGTTTGGAGGAAAGGTGCATGCTTGAATTCTTGGAAACAAAATAAAGTTGTAAATAAAATGTAGTGTAAGTCTTTCTAAAAATAGGGAATGATGCACAAATTTTCTAAGATTGGAGAGAATCAGAAGGGGTTATATCAGGAACTTGTGGAGTTGGATGCAAGGAAAATAGAGGTGATTATTCAAATTATATTTGTCTTCTCCAAGAGTGATACAGATATACCAGGAGGGGATGGATTAGGAAAAGGAAGGGAAAGTGGAAATTTGAGGACAAAGCATTTTAATGGGTAATAAGGATAACAAGTAAAAATGACAAGATTCTAATAGAAGACAAGTGGATATATTTGTCTCTTTGACACAGTTAGGTTTAACAAAGCAGGTACATTAACACTACTGTAATTGTAAAATTAAAATTTACACCACCAGTTGAAATATATCTTATAGACCTTTAAAATTTGGGAAAAACATAATAAATCTGCAGAAAATATGTGACTTAATATGAAAAAGGCCCAACAGGAATAAGTCCTCATATAGAATTGTATTTTTTTTCTTACCAACTTTCATCCTCATTAGTTCTAATATCTTATTAACTCTTTCACTCTAAGTGGTAGTATACATTTCATAAAATTCTTCTCAATAATATTTTGATATAATTCCTGGTAATTTTCTTCTTCATTATGTGTTATTTAATCTTATTTTTATCTGTTATTTTTATCTTCTTTTTTTTTCTTTAAATGCCTAATGCCTGTGAAAAACATTTCTCTACAATTCCCATCCATATAAATAAGTATTAATATATGTAATCTGAAAAACTAAGAGTGCTATTATGAAGTAGGTCATAATTGGCTGTAATCAGAAGTAATGACATCAAGAAATCAAAGAAAATTCAGTATGACTATCAGGAAAAATTTAATGGCTTTGTAAAAATGATTGTAGGTCTGGTCAGGAATGTCTTATGGGGACAATATACTAACAGAAAATAATTCCCAGAAGAGCAGTTTATTTTACTGTTGAATAGTTTTGCAGAAAAACAAAGGGGTACAAATTGCTTCTAGTTTCAGCAGTTGTTTGTCTGACAGCTATGTGTCAGGTCAGTCACACTTTTCTCATTATTTTGGCAGGTTTGTTTGGTAGTTTTTACACAACAGCAAAGAACTTATAAGCAATTTCACTATATTCAAAGCCTTTCATCAACCTTATATTTCACTTTTTCCCCACTCTTCATATCTCTCAAGTACATATTTTATGTAGTGTTTGTTCCTAACAAAATGAGCCCTTGTCAACAACATCCAGCATATTTTTGAAGCAAAGTTTTCCACAGGAAAAAAAATGTTTTGTAGGAATTAATAAATTAGATTTCAATGTTGTACTCTATTCTGAGCAGGTTCTGAGGACAGATTTTTGCTCTCAGGTTTATGTTATTGCTTAAAGGATGCCATGGATGTCACTTGTGTTGACCCCACTTATAGTCACACTGCAATAGTTATGGTGCACTCTCTAAAATGGAGTTCATTTTACAAATCCAGAGCTACCTGAATCAGTCATACATTAAGTGCTTTGGTTTGCAGGGTTTCTGCTTGTGTCCAGGAAGCCTGGAACAACTTTTGCTGTTTCGAGGACAGCACTATTGTTACATGTTCCTGAACCGTGCAGTGCTGGACTAGATCTGAAAAATAAGTAGGTCCACTATGTGCTTCCTGAATTAGATCGGATATTTAGAAAACATAAGCAACAGATCACAACTATCTCATTTAAAAGCGCTATGTTATTCACATTATTTTCTATGTAAATAGGAAAACCTCTGATAATGATCATGCTGTCCTAGAAAGATTATATTATTAGATATTTAACTTAATTTCCAAATGTCAAATGTGGTTTATATCTTCCATCAGTATCATTTTAAATAAAAAATACATGTTTAATGATATTGACAAAATGTGTTTTCTCTTACTTGAAAGGGGGTCTCACTATATTGTCTAGGCTGGTATGAAACTTCTGGGCTCAAGTAATCCTCCTGTTTTACTTCCCAACTAGCTGTAATTACATGCATATACTATCATGTCCCTGGCTTTCAAAGTGTTGTTGATTGTTTCATGCATGTTAAACACAAATGGTAAATGGGATCTCTAAAGAAAAACTGTTTTTACAAAAATTAGGGGAAAAAAGGGTATTATTGTAACAGCTAAGCAAGTAATAACTGGAACATACAAATCAAATAAATTAGACATTAGTTATTAATGATAAGAGCTAAATAATAAGTCAAATGAAACTCTGGAATAATTATCATTATATAAATACATGTTTATTATCACACATATATTTTATGAACAGTCTTAGTGACTTTTCTAATTTTTAAGTAAATTGAAAGGATCATGAGTAAATTAAAGAAACACATGGAAATGTAAATCATGAGCTAAATGACATTTTTCATATACTTATGATTTTTCTCCCTGAATCACAGACTTATGAATTCCCTCAAAAATCATTTGTGAACAAAATTAAGGACAGAAGGAAATGGAGGGTTTTCTTTTTTTTTTTTTTGTCTCATTTATGATCATCTCACACAAAGCATACAATCTTCAACCAGAAAGCAATTCTAGAGCAAAAGAGTAAAGTCAAAAGACATGGGTAGTTTAGCCGGGTGCAGTGGCACATGCCCATAATCCAAGTGGCTCCGGAGGCTGAGACAGGAGGATCACGAGTTCAAAGCCAGCCTCAGCAAAGGTGAGGCATTAAGTAAATCAGTGAGACTATGTCTCCAAATAAAATACAAAATACGGCTGGTGATGTGGCTCAGTGATTGAGTACCCCTAAGTTAAATCCTGGGTACCCCTCCCCCCAAAAAAAGACAAAACAAAACAAAAAGATGTGGGTAGATTAAAGGATTTTGTAAAATTTTACTGCTATATCAAATTGAATAATAAAATAGCCATTGTGAATAACTCCTTTACAACAATTTTTCTAAGCTTCTGATTCACAACAAATTAGAAGATTAAAACCAGTTAGGATTTTTGACAAGACTATTCAAATGCCTTGGTGGGGGTAGTCATCAATATTCTGAGAAGATTTGAATATGCATTAATGTGATATTTTTCTGTTAAAGCAAGTAAAGACTCGGAAAATTGGAGAGAAAATACTGGGCTTACTATGTTTTTCTGAAGTTGCTGAGTTATAACCAAGTAGTAAAAAATGAAAGCACTGCATTGAACTATAAAAATCAGTAATTCAGGACGTAAGATTTATCTTAAAGGAACCAATTTCACATTGATTTCCATACATATTTAATGAAGTGAAATACACTCTACATGCTGTTTTATTTAATACTTTCTATAGACATGTTTAACATTTGATGCTGAAAGCAATAAAGCACAAAACATTAATTTTATCCACGAAATTCTCATGCCTATTCTATAATTTAAGATGTGAATTTTACTACCATTTCCCTAAATTACAGGATGAAGTCTGTCCCAAAGCTGAGGAAGATGAAGTTCAGAAATGTGTGTGGGCCTCTGCTGTTAATGTCAAAGACAAGTTCATTTATGTTGCACAGCCAACTTTGGACAGAGTCCTTATCGTTGATGTGCAGTCCCAAAAAGTTGTTCAGGTATGAATGATTGCTATGTTTGAAAGAGAGTTTTGGAAATCATTTACATTAATCGAATTGTCAGCTACGATGTAACTTGTACATTATCATTTTGATTGTCATTAATAATGTGTTTTTTACCTAGATAATTGGAAAATACTTACATTTTCTGGAATCGGTCTTCTCCTTCAATTCTTTGAGAAGCATTCTGTTCTTAAGGAAGCTATTTAAATATACTTTTAAAAAAAACATTAGGTTCATGAGTACATTATAGCATTAACATGACTGTTTCCACACAAATCATCTTTGCAAGTTTCTTATTCTGTCCTAAGTAAGGAAAGGCCCAGTTCAAGGTCTAATAAAACATTCCTAATTATTATAGAACTAGAAGAAAATCTTTATTTTTGTATTCTTAGCAAAAGCTGAGACAATAGTCTCTTAATAAAAAATAGAAATGTAGAAGAATTTACTAGATAGTTAAAAAAATAATAAGTATCTTCATAGGCCAGTGATAGGAAAAATAATCTCTAATAAACATTGCCATGGTGATCTTTTCACAATCTGTTCAATTCACACTTCCATTTTCAGTCACCAACTGCTTCAGCATTTGCTCTTTCTAAGGCTGAACTACTTGGGCAATTTACTTGAATTCAAAATCATAATCATCATTGGGCAGTATAGGTATCCAAATGACCTGCCTCCAAAAGTGGGCCCTGGAATGTCTTGATTTATTCCTTCTCAGCTCAGAGGAAAGAAACTTAAAACAGCTTTAGATACATGTAATGTGCTAAATAAGAATAATGACTATATATCTTATAGTTATTTTAAGAATTAGATGAATTTTTAAGTGTTATATGAACGGAAAACAATAATAGCAGATGTAGAGATGTGAAGTGCTATATATACCCATTGAACATCAAAATTTCTTAAAGACAGCGGAACCATGCATTCCTTCACTTATACAGAATTTTTAATAAGTATTGGTTGAAATTAATCCTCTATTTTTGAAAAAGTAGGACTATGAAGATTCTAATATTCATAAACAGCTTTAAGGGGATTCATCCATACATCTATCCACCAATCCATCCAAATATTCATCTTTCCATCTTACATTCACTTATTGATTGTCTATTATGAGGTGTGTTGAATATCATAAATAAAAGAAATAAAAGGATGAAAGTATTTCTACTAGAAGGCTCTAATAATTCCACGGTTAGGAATTCACAGTGGATAATCAGTCTAATGGTTCAATTTATAATTTTAAAATAAACTGTACAATTATAAGTAAATTTATGAAAAAGTATTCTGCTAGAAAACTATAAGGCTTCAAAGCTTACACATTTATCATGAATATCTGAACTAATGGTTCCCTATCTACTATAAAGTTAAATATTGCTATATATTTCACCTGTTTTGTATGTGATTCTAAGACTTCTGGCTTTTGACCTTTTTTTTTTTTTTTTTGTTGTTGTTGTTTTTTTTTTTTTTAATTTCCATTGTAGTATATACCAGCATAAATCAGAAGCATTTAGTTTAGGATGATCAAGACTCTCCCAGCAATTAAGAATTTTATGTACATTTCAGGAATTATCAAGACTGGTCTTTAAGTTTAATTTTATCTGGAGACATACACCCAATGAATATATATTACCTACTAGATAGTTAAAAGTGGGAAAAGTTAACATCACTTATTATTAATAGAATTCCACCTTCAGACAATGATGTCAAATTTAAAATTAATAGAAAGTATTGATAATAAAAATGTTCAAATGCTATGGTAATGATCACATAAATTATATCATTTTTCTAAGTACCTATTATAACTATGAAATACTCAAGAGAACATAGAAGACCTTATACATTGATAAAATGGGTAAAAATTATATTCTGATACAATATGACTGTAGAGATTTGGCCTAGAATCTAGCACTTACATTTTTCTTGGTTAGAGAATTAGGCCTCAGGCCAAACATGTTCTCCTTATGATGTTGTTATTAAAATAATAATATTGTATTATTCTTTCTAAATATTGCCTATCCAGAAGTAAAAATTATGTAAATGTTTGTCACTGTATTTAAGTATTGCCAGATTTTGAACATTACCTACATGGAAACATATAATTTTTATTAATTGAATTAAGCTATTTGTACCTAATGCAAAGTTTTGCTTTTATGTGTCTTGTGTATAATTCTTTCTTTTGTTGTTGTAGGTAAACTGGCTAGCACTGAATATTGTTATTTCAGAATTCTGAATTTATAAATCATATACTTAAAATTTCTTATAAAATATAAATTTCTTATAAAATATATTCATAGTCACAAAAACTTGATTATTGGACATACACATTCCCATCAGAATTAATTTGGTGACTTGTTTTGTTTTGCATTTTTATGCTATTGGGATAATTTTAGTGTTCAAAATGAGCTTTAACTATAGGGTTGAAATACTGCCTAGTATTCCTAAATGTAAAGCTGTGATATACCTAATTGTAAGTGTTGTTCAGGTATGAATTATAGTATTGTTGGTGATGAGATCCATTTTAATTGGTCAATAATATATATTAAAGAAGGTATGCTTAAACATATATCTTAGCTATATCTCTATATATTATGTTTCAATTTGTTGATTAAAATATTGTGGCCAGAAGCTTCAAGGAATATCTATTTTCCTTAGGAACAATAGTGTAATATTCAGCAATTCAGTGTTTATGGTGATTTTGATAATGACTTTCAGAAATAATGAGAATCAACTGAATTTTTATATATCATTCTGCTGTTAATGAACACTTAGAGTATATAAAAATTTGGAATATTATGAATAATATCTCTCACCAAATTTTTGTATACTTATTTTGGTGGGCATTGATGTGCAGCTTGTCTATGTGCATATACAGGAGTTAAAAGTTGGAATGGAATATTGTATAAGTTTATGTGATAAAGTTTTAATTTGAACTAAATTTAATCTAATGATAAAATTAAGAAGTTCTGTTATTTTATAATTTTTTTATGTTTCTGCAATGATGATAATTAAGATTATTTTGGGTTTTTCTACATGATTTGAGAACAATAATATTAAAATATTAGTTCATAAACTAATAGTATAACTTCCATTTCTATGTTATAACTTTTACATAATTTAAGAGAACAAAGCATTTAAAAGAATTATTGGTTTATATATTAGACATATAACATATAAAATATATAGTTGTGATATCCTCAGTTGAAAGGGATAGGGATGGAGCTATAAAGAGAGTAGTTTCCCATCTTAATTAAAAGTGCTCAAGAAATTAGGGTTAGATGGAACTTGTCTCAACATAATAAAGATTATAATATATGACAAACCCAAAGCCAACATAGTGAATGGAGACAAACTGAAAGCATTCCTTCTAAAATCAGGAATGAGGCAAGAATATTCACTCTGACCATTGCTATTCAATATAGTCCCTGAAACTCTAGACAGAGGAATCAAGCAAAAGAAGGTAATTGAAGGAATATAAATAGAAAAATAAGTAAAATTATTTCTATTTGCTGATGACATGATCCTATCTAGAAGACCCAAAAACTCATCAGAAGATTTCTAAAGCTGATAAATAAATTCAGCAAGATGGCTGTATACAAGATTAACATACATAAATCAATAGCTTTCATTATTCCAATAGTGATTCTACTGAGAAAGAAAACTATCCATTTCACAATAACCTAAAAAGTAAAATAAAATAAAGTACTTGGGAATTAATCTAACTAATCAGGTGAAAGACCTCGACAAGGAAAACTACAGAACACTGAAGAAAGAAACTGAAGAAGACTGTAGAAGATGGAAAGACATTCCATATTCTTAGATAAGCAGAATTAATGTTGTCTAAATCATCATATTACCAAAAGTGTTATATTTATTCAATGCAATCCCCATCAAAATACCACCAATAATATTCTTCACAGAACCAGAAAAGAAAAACAAAAGTCCTATAACTTGTTAGGAAGAATAAAATACTGAGAATAGTTTTACTGAGCAATAAGAGCAATACTGGAGGCATCACTGATTTTTATAATAGTAACAAAACCAGCATGGTAATGGCATAAAAACAGACATGAAGACCAGTGGAATAAAATAGAAGAGCCATAGTCAAACCCACACAGTAACAGTTATTTCATACTTGAAAAAGGTACCCAAAATATATGTTGGAGAAAATGTAGCATTTTTTAACAAATGGTGCTGTGAAAATTGGATATCCATAAGTAGAAGAATGAATCTATAGCCCTTTCACCTGCACAAAATTTAAACCAAACTGGATCAAAGGGTTAGGAATTATACTAGAAATTTTTCAAATTTTAGAAGAAAACATAGGGTCAAGACTCCAACATATTGGCACAAGCACCAACATCCTTAACATGACCCCAAAAGTGCAAGAAAGAAAACAAAGAATCAATAAGTGGTATACCATCAAATTAAAAAGCTTCTCTACAGCAAAGAAAATTGTAAATATTATGAAGAAAGAGCCTACAGAATGCTAGCTACTCTTCTGACAGTAGATTAATATCCAGAATACTTAAAGAACTCAAAAAGCTTAACAAAAACAAAGAAACAAATAACCCATTCAAGAAATGGGCAAACTAAAAAGATATTTCTCAAAATAAGCAAAATGAATGGAAAATAAATGTAGGAAAAAATGTTCAATATCCCTTGCAATCTGGGGAAAGCAAATCAAATCTATACTGAGATTTCATCTCACTCTGGTCAAAATAACAATTGTCATAAATACAAATAATAATAAGCATTGACAAGGATGTAAGGAAAAAGTTACACTCATACATTGCTGGAGGGACTGCAAATTGGTGCAACCACTCTAAAAAACAGTATGAAGATTTGTCAAAAAACTAAGAATGAAACCACCATATGACCCAAAATAACTATCATCAACATACTATAGTGATATAGTGTCACTATAATAAAAGGCACCAAAACTTAAGAGTAAGGTATTTCTTCTGGTTCTTCCTTAGCACAGTAGGGTAACTATTGGTTTA